GGGCTGCCCTCGCCCGGTCCGCGCTCGCGGGGGTGGCCGGAGCCGCCCGTACGGCAAGCAGCCCCTCTTCCTTCCCCTGCTTCCCGTTTCTTTTTGATTAATATCTGTTTACAGAGGTGTCCCGAGGTGTTTCGAGATTAACTAACAAACCCAGGACAAAAGCAGAATTGTCTCGGTGCTTGTTTTCTTCTCGAGATCCTGGCAGGTTTCCAGCATTAGAAACTGGGGATTGCGGTTTTTCAAGCTCGTTTGAAAAGAACTTTGCTGCTTTTCTGCACCCGAATGTGTGCCGTCCCTGCCATTATCCACAAGGAACAGGAGGCAACGGAGCCCTGACCCACTCTCCCATCACCGATACCGAGCAACAACAGAAACAGGAATGCAGATGCAGCGAGGAGAAAGACAAGGCAGAAAATGCTTTGGCAAGTCACCTTGAAATGGAGTATGTCAAAAGCACAGGCACGTGTGACGCTTAACAGACACTGCGCAGAGCCAGGTGGGATCCATGAACTTTCTCACCCCAGTTCTGCAATGCAGCAGAACTTGAACGGACCTCTGCAAACTCTCTAGAATGATTCTGCCAGCTGCAAATAGGAATCTTAACTGCAAAGACCAGAAGGCCTACCAAACACGTTGGCTGAACACTCAGTTGAAGTTGTATGCCTGTAACACAGCGATAGCAAACAAATAATTTTGTCTTTCCTTTTCCCGCTGAGGAGCTAAAGTTCATGTTTACTGAGTGCTTGAAATAGACAAGGTGTGCTCAGAGAAAACAAATCAAGTGGGTTACAGGGGCAGGGAACGTTTTGAACCTGCTCAAAGATTTAGCTGGGAACAATGTTCCGGGCCTGAGCCTTGCGTCTCTCCTGCTTGTTTTACACCAGTTAAGCTGCACTTTCATAATAATCCTCCAGCGATTCAAATCAGAGAGAATTCTTTCTGCCGTGCGTTGTAAAAAGGTTCAGGACACCCCAAATGTCCTAGTTAATGTTTCAGTTGTCAGTGCTTCTGCAGTTTACTTAAATGGACTGACTTGCTGTGGGCGTGGTTCAGATAATCTCCAATCTAAGTTAGAGGCTTCCAGGCAGGGTTTCCGCTTCCCCCAGCTAATGGGACTCTTCAGCAGCCCAGTAAGAAGAGCTATTGGAGACACTGGGATGCTCTCCTTCGGGAATCAGAACAGCTGTTAGCCGTTCAGACCAGGCAATACAGTACTGTACATCACACATTACATACCATCTAGCTTCCAAAGAGTAAGTGAGCTTCGTTCCTATACACCTCTACTTTTAATACCAAAGAAAGATTTTACTCCAAAAATAGAGAAAAAAGAAGGAAATGGACCAGTAACAGTTCACAGAACTAGTTCAGATACGGCAATCATGGCAATTAGCCTCAGGCATACTAAGTCCACAGCTAGCATCAGGCAGCGGTGAAATCAAGTAGCTACCCTGGTTTAGGTACTTAATTTCCCTTTAATCTCTTCAGGCTTCCTCTACAGTCAGCGAAAGGAGCTAGGGTCTTTCCAGAGGGTGATTCAGAGTCTCCCGATCTCAGTTGCCTCCCTCCCTCCGGTGACTGCAGGGGGAGAGCAGGTGCCCAGCCCTGGGTGGTAGGTATGCTCCCCAGTAAAGCCCGCACTCCGCAGCCGTTTAACAGATTGCTGATGTGCTGGGAGTTCAGCCACACTTAAGCACTTGTACATCCCCCGTGGAAACAGGCACTCAAATGTGTGATTAGCTGTTCAGCTTCCTGTGTTCAAAACAGTTTCTTTCCTTGATTAGCTTCAGAGCGTAGTTAAAATACGCTGCCAACGAGGCTTCCTGTTGCTGTAAAAAAAGGTGTCTGCAATAAACCACTTTTAAAGCGGAAGGGATATAGTGTGTGGCAAGGCTTTATTACAGCTCCTGTACCAAACAACAGGTGAAACCCTGGGACCCGGCCAGGGGCTGGAAAAGCTGTGACAAAAGGAAATCTCCTACGCGGGCAACACGAGACGAAGCCTGCATTTTTCCTTCACGCGTTGCACCGATTTTATTGCTCT